CCTTAACACTAATATAATACAGCAATATAATATTTGGGCTGTAGTTTAAGAAGTGACATGGCTCCAGATATGTACCTCTAGTGCCTCATTTTACAGCCAGATTTTGCAGAATGTAAATGCTCCCAAAAATAATTGGAATAAAAATCACTCTTCATTGCTCTTCAAAGCAATGTACAGATCAACCAATAATAAAAATGTTGAAGCACTGCAGTGCAGTGTGCATGTCACAGAAGCCAACCAACCTGACTAGAAAGAGTGGGTATATTTATTGTCACTAACCAGAAATGGTGGCTGTCACAGATTCATTATGATTAGCTTGATTAGCTTTAGGTAGTTGCACAACCTTGGTTGAAAGGCAGTGTGGGTGCTGGGGGGAGTGCAAGGTATGGTGGTGATGTCCGTTTTTGTTAACTAATTTGGTTGGCTCAGCATGCAGACTGTAGACATATTTAGGAATCCACTCCTGTAGAAATAAACAGAATCAACTGAATACATTTGACAAGCCCTTTTGACAGTATAGTCAATGATTGTACAGTCAATAGCACGATTGTGTGTGACTCCTTTCATTTACTCAGACAGGAATCGTACCCCTTTTGGACTATATCCCACCAAAAAGTCAAATGTATTTCCAAGCACACATGCATTAGATTGTAATGTGAAACTTTTGCCCATAGTTTTGCTGCTTTAAAGTATTTGTGACAACTGGGAAAGAAGTTTTAGAAATAAAACCCGTGTATGCTAAAAATTGCAGTGAAGGCTAAACCTGGTAAGATAATGAGTCTGATACCAATATTTTTAACAATAACTGGTCAATAATTGTATCGTACAAGATAATTTGATTCTATACAAACTTACCTGAAATTATATTTGATTAACATCCTATCACATGGAAAGATTTAAGCATGAACTGTTAATTGCAGCTTTTCAACAAACATATAGTGTCTAGATCTAAAGGTATATATTATCACCATCACCATCTATCATCATTCTTCCTGCATGTGCCTAGACCAATAACATCACAGCCAGTATAAGAATTTAAACCATTCATAAAAAAAATTAAAAGATGGGCATAGCCACAAATTGACAGCTAAAACATATCTCAGTTCAAGTCACAGAACTATATTGGAAATGACCAGGAGAAATAGCATGTTTTAAACTGTATAAAATATGACAAGGTGATAAAAAAAAACCCCACATCTTTTCTAGAAGGAATTCCATCAGTGAAATACATCTTTAATCCCCACAACATGGGCCATTACCATAGGCAGGGCTTGGGTTAGGACATGGCTTTCCTATACTGTTCTAGTACAAAGCTTGCACCATTGCAGGAAAGTGCATGGTGAACCAGCTGAAGTTGAGTATAGCCATTCCTCATCCTTATAACAACCTCATAATTTTTATGAATCAAGGAAGATTCTTGCACAGCAAGAACAACATATCCATAGCATCACCTTCTTATCAAGAATGAGCTTCACTACAGGTACTCTTATCCAACTCATCATTGCTCCTTGCATCAGGTGAGTACCTACAAATCCTCTACTATTCTGCTGGAATGCAAAGATGGAGCTGAGAGTATCATCAGCATGACACAATGTTCAAATTCCCAGACAACATTTTCAAGAGGTTTCATATGGACATTAACCAGGAAAGAGAAGAGAAGAGAATCCTGTAGGATCCATAGCCAAGAAACCACGGGGGAAAAGAGAAATCTTTGGTGGCAATCCTGAAGGTAAACACTTAATTATTGCATCAAAAGCCCCCAATTCCCATAAAATTGCTCTACCATGGCATTCTGCTCAATGCTATCAAATAACCCAGAGAGATCCATGAGGATCAGAAAGATAGCATTCCCTTGGTCCTTGCCCCAAGAGAAGTAATCAATAATTACAATCCAAAGCTGTTTGGATGCACTATCTAAGGCTGAAGCCTGATTTAATGGGCCTAGATAATTATCTAAGTTTTATTTATTCATTTATTCATTCTGCAACCCATCTACCAGAAGGAACTCTGGGTATGGAATAAGAGTAAAACACACAATATAATTTTAAAAAATGAAACAAACAAACAAAAACAATGTTGAGGCCACTCATAATAAACCTGCATTCATCAATCAACTACATCATCCTGGCCCACCATTCTGCAGGAAAAATCAGATCTTCACTGCTTTCCTGAAGGCCAACAAAGCTGAGGTCATTCGTATCTCTAGGAGACCCTGTCCTATAAGGCAGGGGCCATCACAGAGAAGGCATATTTCTCTTACTACCACAAGCCTTCTCTGAAATAGAATATATTGAGAAAGTGGCTAGGTTCACACATTGCATTAAATCTTTGTGTTGTTTAGTTGCTTTTGGCCTAGCATGTTATGAGAACCCAATTATCATGGTATGTAAGCAAGATTTACAGTTAAGTCCAGTATGGAAACCCAACTAAGCCTGATATATCCAAACCATTATTAAATGTATGGTGGTTTAGTTTAAAACTATTCCCTATGTACATACCCCAAGCTAAATTTTTACAATTTAACTCTGGGTGTATAACTTCTATCAGCTCAAGGGCCACACCGGGTTTTGTGTGTCCTCTTGAGGGCAACATTTCAGAAGTAGGCAGGGCCTGGGTCCTTTTGGGAACGGTTTTTGAAAATGTTAATGGGTGAAATGGGAGCCTTAAACATCTGCAGAACCTCCTATTTTGCCCCTTAAAAGGTCTCCAAACTTGTAAAAATGCAATAATAGACCCCATTTTTTTGGCCCGCCCTCTTTTGGTGAAGGCACTGATGACGACAAAATAAAGGCAGGTGGGCCTCACATTTTACACTCCTGTTCTAACAACCCTATGCCTCATTATTAAATTATCTTATTTGAATATGATAGCATACTCTCTGCATCCAAGAGCGACAATATTCTTGTCGCATATTATCTGCCAACCTCAAAGAAATTTGGCACTTATGAAGGCAGAGTCATCTAGATTCAGTCTTTGTCATAACATTGCATTAAAATGTATTTTAATATTGTAGCTTGATCACTCCAACCCAGAGTATATCACCTGTGATAAGCCAGTATAAAAAAGGAAGTATCATCCCCAGATAATACACCCTGGATTAAATTCCCATATGGCAGTGATCATAGTAGAGTATGCTGCGTTCCACAGACGTTTCAACTACAGTATTACTCATTTAAAGATCCTTGTTATATATCATTTTTTGGTACAATAGCAATAAACAATACACTACAATCATGATGCTTCTAGAGCTGAGGCTATCAAAAAAGATCTTACACTGCAAAAATTGATCTTACCACATATAAAGCTTCCGGCAGTAAGATTTTTCTGTGGTTTCTCTAGCTCTTTATGGCCTCTCAGCTGAACTTTAGCAAATCATGTATCAGTCTTCTACAAAAGCATTTGTAGAAGCAAATGCAGCCTACAGCTTTATTTTATTGTTTATTCTTGCACAGACAATCTATCCACTTTCAGGTTTGTCTGGCATTTTACAGAGCTTGATCCAGCATATGTTTATTCATACCGAAGAACCATTTTGCTTTACTGATAAATGCAATCACCTGAAACAAGATAGGCATAGATTGTTCCAACATGCATCTGAAACAGCTGCTATTTTCACCAATATGCACCTACTTTTGTCCAGTTTTAAAATTAGTCAGAAAGTATCTGCAAAAGTGAACACTTCAGGAAATTGGACTGGAATCACATTTCTACAACACTTTTCTGCTTTAGAGAATTCTACAGGTAATCACTGATTAATGAAACCCAATTATATTACCAGTAATTGAACTTGGGAAAGCCAAAATAGATTAACTTTCTGGAACCCAAATTGTATCAAAGACTTCCACAACAACGTGCGAAGAATGCAATTTAGATCAAAGCAGATGATTCTGGGGGGAGTATCTTGTAGGTTAGGGGCTGCTAAATAGATTTTAACCTTTATGTTTTATAGTCATTTATGTTTTTTATTTTATTGAGATCAGCCTAGAATCCTAGGGAGAGTTGACATGTACATAATAAATAAATAAAGGCAAAACCTCATCTACCCCTACGGGAAAGGAAATACGCATGGATTTCTTCCCTACAAACCCTTTCCAATCCCAAACACATTCATTTGGAAGACCCACTGAATTAAATCAGAGCAGCAGCAATCGGAAGCACCAGGCTGTTCTTAAAAAACACATTACATACACATAAACCCAGCGACAGGATAAATCAGAACAGGGTCTTCAGACTTCCTGAAGAACCAGCACGTGTTCCTCTTATCATCAACAAACAATTCTTATAGCAAAATTTATAAAGAGGCGTCGTCTCTAAGTCACCTTTTCTGCTGAACGGGGGGGAGGGGGGAGAGGAGAGAAGGGGGAGGGGTGATTAGCACCTGACAGCGCCCTCTGCTGGTGGAATAAAGCATAATTATTCAACTTCATCGAAAAAGATACACTCGCCGAAAGAAGCGGGCGGCTGGCAGATGCTGTCCCCAGAGAGGTGGAAATGAGCAACTGAGGGAAGTACAGGAGGAGTGGGGCATGGAATGCAGCAAGCAGGACAAAGTGGGTGTCAGAATCCAAATCGAGTGGCCAACCACGTCATGGGGATACCCTGTGTAAAATGATAGCCCGGTGCGGCGGGTAGAGAGATAACTGACAAGGGATGATCGGTGCAAATGCTGCAAAGGACGAGGGGCGGGAGAGGACAGGGAAAGCGGCAGCGCTGGGCGCCTGGCGAAAGGGATCGGCAGAGCTGAAGGGCAAAGTCGGGGCAGCGTGTGCCTCTACTCCGCCCTGCCGGACTCGGATATGGTTGACTGGGCGACGGTGGTAGGAACGTGGGAACGCAGAATCGCCTGGACCCTCCGCGGTCCTTCTGTCCAAACTCAGCCTCCCTCGCTTACTGGTGTCCGGCGATGTCCACCCCGTCCCCGTCCCTTCCCGCCCCACCTCGCGCAGCCACTTGCCGGCGCAAGCGTGCGCTCCGTCGACTGCGCGCCTGCGCTGGCTCACCTGCTTCCGAGACGACGCCGATCCAGAGGCAGAGGCAGAGCGCGCCGAGTCTCTTCATTTCCAGCGCCGG